GGACCGAAGCCGGCGGGACGGAGCCGCGTGTCCCCCCCCCGGCGCAGCCCGCTCTCCCCTCCGAGCTCTTGAGCTCATCAAAGCTCTGAACAAAGCCAACAGCACTCCAAGGCGCTCGGAGCTCAAGGACTCGCTGAGAGCATTAAGTGGTTTAATATCGCGGCTGGAGGAGAGGGGGGAGGCAGTGCCACATGTCACACGTCTGGCCAGCACCTGGCGGGGACAGCGCTGGGGCAGGACACGGCCCAGGCAGCGCTGGGGGCACCGGGGGCGAAACGTCAGGAGGATCCGTAGAGCATCACTGCAGAGCCCGGTGCTGGGGGGGGGCAGGAGGGGGGCAGGAGACTCAAACCGGGGTGATTGGCCCCAGCCCAGGTCCTCCATGGATTTATAGCCTTGGGGGATGCACAGACAGGGGCCAGTGGCAATTCCTCCCTGGCTGCTGCCTCGTGGATGCCATCAGGCTGCAGGGATGGCACCGTCATCCCACAGCCGTGCAGGGCTGGGAATAATCGCCAGGAAGGAGAGCCTGGCCTGGTGAGCTCCTGGGGCAGGGGCTGCTGCAGCTGGGCAGCGACTGTGAGAGGTGGGAGGCCTCAGCTCCCTCTGCATCCTGACTTCGAGCTGATAAAAAGAGAAAGGCAGCTGTGCCGAGCGAGACCAAGGGCCAGCTCGGCCAGTGCTTGGGAATGGCAGCAGGAGAGAAGGTCCCCAGGGCCTGGGGGAACAACCTTCCTCCCTCTCTGGAAGCAATTTGCCTTCCTCTCTCCCTGCACCCCCTGGTTTTGCCACGTGCCCTTCGCCTGCCGTGCCCAGGCCTCTCCCAGCAGCGAGTGGGTGCTCCCTGGCAGGGGCAAGCAGTCTGATTTATGGAGTGTCTTGGCACACTGCTGTGCCTGGCTGGGAGCAGCAGCTCTGACCAGCTGCAGACCCTCCCCAGGAACAGGCCTCTCGGCACGGCTGCCCCTCACTGGCCACGGAAGCGGACCCGGGAGAAGCTGCTGGGACCTTCTGAACGGGGTGTTTGGGGAGCAGGAACCAGCCAGGGTACCTGGAGGGGTCTGGGCAGGGCTGGGGTAGGGGGTGGTGTCCTGGCTGGGCTCTGCACTGCAGGGCTCTGAGTCCTGGGTCCTGTGGTGGGGCAGAGGGCAGATAGTGCCCAGGAGAGGAGGACAAGGCTCACAGGGAGGGGAGGGTGGTGAACACAGGGCTGGTGTTTGCCTTTCCTCCACCCTGCACCAGGGTGAGTAAACAAGGTGCAGAAATGGTTGAGTTCCCTTGAGATAACAAAGGGCGCTGGAGCTGGGCCGGGCTGGGGAGGGAGCAGGGTGCTCGGAGCTGCCTGCTACCTGTACTGAGTTTGCCTGGGCTCAGTTTGGGGCAGGGCTTCCAGGTTTGAGGCAGAAGAGGAGCTGCAGCGGTCGGGCAGAGACGCTGAGGTCCTGAATGCCGCAGTTCCCAGTGAGGGGACGGCAGGAGAGACCCAGTGCTCGCGGCAGAAGCTGGCTCGGACACTTGCGCCTCTGGCACCTCGGGACCATGGGCTGTGCCGGGGGCATCCCTTCCTGGCAGCGCAGGCAGGGGCTGCAGCCAGCCCCGCTGCTGAGAGGAGGCTGCCAGGGACCAGCACTCGCCTGCGGCACAGCACTGCGCTGCCACGGCCACCGCGTGCGGCAGGAGCTGCCAGACCCAGAACAGAAATGTGCACAGGGCCAGCAGAAAACAAGGTTTCTAGGGCCTCCAAAATGGGCTCTGGACCCCCACTGGGCACCCAGCAGCGTGGAGCGGGGAGGGGGTGCCTTTCCTCGCCTGCCTCCCCCTTGGCCAGGGCTCTCCATGGACCCAGGCAGCGTGGGGTGCTGGGGGGGGGGCAGCTTTTGTTGCTCCAGAGCTACCTCCCAGGCAGCGTGACGGGGAGCCAGGCAAGGGCTGGGCGAGACAGACGGGGGGCCTCGTGCTGGGCTGGAGGCATGTGGCGCCTGGCGAGGCCTGGGCATGGCACCGCCGGCAAGTGACGCCTGGCTGGGGACGCTGGCAGGGCTGGGGACAACGCCAGGGCTGGGGACAATGCCAGGGCTGGGGACAATGCCAGGGCTGGGGACGCGGCGGGTGGAGCCGGCAGTGTGCTACCACCTGCTGGAAGCTGGGAAGGAGAGAACTCCACGAGGGGAAGGGGCTGGCACCGGGACCCCGCAGTCCCGGGGCATGGGCTGAGCCCCCGCCGCAGCCCCTCCGGGGCAGGAGCCCTGCACCCACCTCCTCTTCTCCAGCTGGTTCGTTATTCCCACGAAACTTGCCGAGAGCCAACATCAGAGGCTCTCACCCCTCTGTCCAGGAAAGCTGAACTGGGCAGCGTCTGCTGGCAGACAGGGGGGTGGTTGGTCAGTGAGGTCTCCAAGGCCCTGGGAGAGCAAGGAGGCCACGTCCCTCTGCAGTCAGTCCTCTGTGGCTTCCAAGCCTTCCCAAAACATCTCGGCCTCCCCAGAGCCACACGGGCTGAAGAAGCAGCACTGAGAGGCGAGTCGTTCTCCCCCTCAGCCTGGCGTTAACTCTGGAGCCTACTGACTGCTGCTCCAACCACACCAGCAGCCACCAGCAGTTTCAGCACATGTGCCGCTACCCACTTCGTTCCACCATCTCCCAGCCCCAGCCTCCCGCGGGCCCCTCCTCCCTCGCCCTCCCCTCGCCCCCAGCCCAGTGAGGACCAGTTCAGAGCAGAGCCACACTGGGGGTGCAGGGCACACAGACAGAAATCCAATTTCAGATGGGAGCACTCCCTGGTGCGCTGACTGCATTATTCATGTCCATACTTAACTCAATAAAGGCCTCATATTTGTTTTAATTATTTTTTGCTTCAAGAACACTGCTGTTGCAGCTCCCAGCCCGCCTCCCCCCGCAGGGTCCTGCCTTTGTGCTGGGCGACCAGGGGGCACTGCCCCTCAGCAGGACCCTCTCAAGGGGGGTCTCTGAGCCCCTGCAGCCCAGGGCAGGGGGGAGCAGAACCTCCTGCACCCTGTGGCCGTCAGCACCGCACACCAGCCTCAACCAAAGCAGTTAAACCCCTACGATAAATACCCCGGCAGCCCTTCGGGCACCTCGCAGCAGCATCGGGGGGGCGAGGGGCCAGGGCAGAGCCAGCAGCAGCTGGTGAACGGCGTGGGCTTGTTCTCCGGTGGCGAAAGAACTAAGTCTGGGCTCTCGCAGCCTTTTCCTGCCTCTGCTATTGAGGGAACGGCGCAATTATCTTTGCAGACGCATTACTATATGACAAAAAATAGCATCTGAGATGGAAGCGCTGCGTCCCTGTAGGTATCCAGCTATCAGTGGAAAATTACACATTCATTACTGGGCTTTATTTAGGGGCTTGTTTTATTCATCGACTCAGCCAGCACCCAGCAGCCCCATCCCGGGAGGAGCTGTCCCCAGCGAGGGGCAGGGGGTGCCAGGGTGACCCTGCTCCCTGCGGCGGGTGCCAGTGGTGTGGTGGCAGCACCGGGCG